TTCAAAGGCTAAACTAAAGAAAATAAAGGAAGACCAAATAAGAGATGATTGACTCAATAAAGGAAGCCACAGCCATGAAACAGTTATGCAGGAATGTCATGGGTAGGACATTTTGGAAAGCCTTCATTCATAGGGACCCCAGAAGTCGGAGACAACTTGATGGCATGTTACAACAACAGAGATGCCAAAGAGGAAACTTTATATACCCACGCGTAGGGAGAAAGAACAATAGGCAGAGTGTACTGAAAGCAGAACAGACAATGGAAAGCTTAGACAGTGTTCTAAGCAGCTGTTTGCTGGAAGAAGATTTTAGAGTTTTGTTACCAATTTGAGCATCAGCCAACCAGAGATCTGCAATGCATTTCACACTGAGAATTCTTTCCTAGCATTTGAAATAGCTTCTTAATTTTATATGAGATTATATACCAAGGTGTATATAATCATTTTTCTGACAAGCTGGGATGAGAAAGCTGGCCATCCATGCCAAACTGTGAACAGATGCTACTAGTATGAAAACCAGCGCATTTTATTTTCAAGGGAGCGCATGCATGTGCGCGCACACACGTGTGCTCATGCACAGAGGCATGGACAGTGCAGAACATCATTGTCCCTGTAATTTCCTGATTTTCAGTAGAGTTCACATGAAAGGAAGTTGTTAGGTTTGGAGGCTGTAATTCTAGAAGATGCTGGTTTTCTAAAGACTTTTCATTCCTCATATTTGAATAAATTTCTCTAATAAATTTTCATTCAGATTTTCAGGAAAATAGATTCCAATTCCACTGAATACAAAATTCCAATAAGATTTTTTTTAAAATTCATTGGGATTACCCCACCTACTGAAAGTGGAATTAAGAAAACAAGGAAAAGGCATGGCATTGCATTTGACTGAATATCAGGCTTCAAAATTATGTCAAAATATTAAAGAGGACCCATCCCAAACAGACAGATCAGTTTTTCTCAACCTGGTACCTTACATTTGTGTGGAACTACAGTCTCCAGCCTGTATGACTTTCCTTTGTCCAGTGGCAGGGTTGTACTGTAACACATCTGAAGGTTGGAGAAGACTTAGACACTCAGATGAATTGATAAATACTGTATCTCCAAGGAGAGGAACTGGTATCCTAAATCACATAGTAGTAAACGAATAGTACCAAATAATAGAAAAGTAGGAGCAGTGTTGGTATGTGAATCAACAAGGTGTCAGGAGCTTGTGGTACAGCCTGTAAGATCTCATATTCAGATCTCTACTTGACTTTGAGTTCACTGCCTGAGCAGATCTAGCAACCTCAGTCTTGCTAGCAATACAATGGGGAGAAACTGGACTGACTAAAGAGTATGTGTGTGAAGGCCTGGGGTCGGGAGGGTTATATAGGTAGGCACACCATGAGTGGAACCCGGGGGTCATACTAGGTGGTCCTGGAGGCCACTTTTGATTCGCTTTGTTTCTATATAAAGATAACCCCCGATCTGAAGTAGGGGGCACAGATGTGGTTATCCAGTGATGAAAGAGCACACTCTTCATGGGAATCCATCTGGACAACTCCACTCTCTCAGTCCGAGCCTCTCTCCATTCCTTTGCGTAATACGTATGTGCAGGGAGCTGATGTTCTGTGCTGTAAATCACCTAGCTCAACCTGTATTCCTTTTATTTTTCCTTCATAAACCATGCCCTAGTCTCCTTTTATCGCGGATCTTCCGCTTTCGCTTTGGCAAACGATAAAGATTTGGTCTTGTACGAGAAAAGGCGCACGCACGCACGGAGGGCACGTGCCGAGAGGGCGCGCAAGCCAAGCCAAGCCAAGCCAAGGCAAGGGAAAAAGCGCCACGGAGTGCATTGGCAAGCATAACCGGAAGGAGGAGCTCGTCACTTAATCATGTCCGTAAGCGCCAGAGCGTTCCCCCCCCCCTTAAAGAAATCCCCCAATAAATTCACTTTGGCCCGAAGGACCTCCTTTTCCGGAGAGGGGGCGGGGGCCGGAGTCAAGGTCAGCGCAGCCAAAGTAACCCGACCGCAGGGGTCAAAGTTAAGGCCTGATTTACGGCGGCTTGGAAACCACTCCTCCCGCCTCGCTATTGGAGGCTGCGAAGGTCGGTGGCCCGAGCAGCTGGCGGGGCCTGCAGGACGCCCCCCTCCCCAGCGCTCACGGCGCACCCCCTTTCGACGCAATGATTCAAGAGGGAGACGAGAGGTTGCTGACACATCCGGCTGCCTTTCCTGTAGAGCAAAACAGAGCTTCTGTCCAATGCAAGCGGTAACAAAGCAGATGGGATTTTAGTAAGGAAGGATACGAGAACGCCCACTTCATGGCATCTCTCCTTGCGACCTTCCCTTCTGCAAGCAGTAATATTCACAAGCCAGAAGCAAGACAGTACGCGATACTGGGCCTAAAATCGTGCATACGCTTCAGGCAAAGCACGTGCAAGCAAGCAAGCAAGCACCTCATTTGTTAAAAATGCTTATCAAAAATTCATGTGCCTCCCTTACATATGCCTTCCTCACAGTCGTCTTAACAACTGATCACCGGCAAGGAAAGGCAGAGAGAAGTGGCCTTCCATTTCTGTGAATGCATTGTTAATGAATTCCTTCTGAGGCTTTATGCATTTACACATCTGGCCCTTCCGAGATGCAACACTGAAAGGATCTCACATTAACAAACAAGAAAATGGGTTGTAGGGTATACAAGGTGGATTTAATGCATTTAATCTAATGCATCTTAGATTAAAAAAATCTAAGATGCATTAAGTTTCTAATATGTTTTAGTCCGTTGATGCAAAGAGGGAGAGAAGATTAATTACTCAAAATGCCACCAATTCTTCTAGAATGGACATTTTCAGAAAAGCAATCCACAAGCAATCAGAAGCAATCCACACTCTCAGAAATGTATACACTGCATTTTTATTTTTTGGTTAAACCCTGGATCAATTTCACTGATGTTTCTCAGAAATTGCAAGATAAAGGAGGAATAAATCCAGTGAATTGGCCAATTTAAAGGATTTTTGCTCACTTATTGATGTGCATTTATTGATGAATAAATGCATTCATTTATTGTATTCCTATTATTTATTAGTATGTTCATTAATGTTTGGTCCTGTGGTGTTAAATAAAGAACATCACTTATTCAATCTCAATGACATTCAAGAGAAATTATGTATTATAATATATTAAATAATGTAAGTACAAAAAAAACCAAGTTATATATTACTAACTTATGCATTCCCTGTCCCAAACAGATGTTGGGTAAAGCAAGTTGCACTGAAATAGGCTTCCTTAGAATCAGAATGGCAACATTAGCCAGAGTACCTGCACATTTCTAAATACTTTTGCAAAATCAGAACTTTGACAAAAACTTATCTTTGATCAGGGATACTTTAAACCTCCCCCCACCAAATTGCTGCAAAACAAGACCCATTGATTTCAGTGCAGCTTACTTTGAACTGACACACTTAAGTATCCGAGCATTGGCCAAGTGTATACATAATTGTATTTCTTCCATTTTTATGGAACAACTCCTCTGCCTCTTTAGGTATCTAATTAAAACCTGTCATCAAAGCACCTGAAAAATTAATTTGTGCTCAAGAGCAGTAGTAGCTGAATCTTAATCCTAACTGTAACATAGAATTTACTATTTACTGATGCATGTAGTAGCATCAGTTTACAAGTCCTTTCTGACATATTTGCTTCCCCCATCTCAGAGAAGCATTTTAAATATCTCCATTCTAAGCAAATTTACCCAGCAGTCACGATTTCCACAACTGTGTAGGTCTGAGCAGAATGTTAGTACAATAGCCAGTAGAATCAATAGAATTTACCCTGTGATCCAATCCTTGTTTCCTTTCTAGTAAGCCAGGCTGATTTCACTGGGATTTACTCTCAGTTCTGTACATAGGGCTGTAGCCTTTATGTTCCATATATTACATACAAACACATTAGGACCCAAGCATTAATGGGTAGCACAGATTTTAATCTGTGGGGCTGAGTTTGAAGGGCAGAATTCCTCTCTGTGATATTAGAGAATGAAAAACAAAACATCAAAGAGGCCCTGGCCTAGCTAAGCATAGTAACTGTTGTTTACTATATTGTAAATTTCCCTCACACGTATTTCAGTGTCTTCAAAGGCACTTATAATGAGATTTCGGTAGTATGCACATTTAGTTAAATGCAATTAATGATATGATTGATTGCCATATGATCAAATAACCAAGAACAAACAAACAAAAAGAACTTCGGTTGGTGGACAGCCCTTATATACACGCATGCCATCTTAAAATATACATTACATTATAATGTTGATATTTTTATAGAGATTATCACTTCTTATATGTACAAGTCCCCTAAAACAGAGTTGGACGTATGTATATATACATATTTAAATTACAGGTTTTCTTTGTGGTAAAAAAATACAGATAAGTTGGGCCCTGTTCCTTCAGTTTTTCAGAGGACCGGAAACCAAACCAAACAGATTGAGGTCTTTGAGCATTTATTAAAATTCGGCTCGGCTTTATGCAGTTCTCGTCCTCTTGGCTGCGCTTTGCTTTCTTCCCACCGCCTACTAAACTTCGCACAAAAGAAAGATAACCTAATTCTCACAGGAATGGAGCCAAAGCGGCTACAGCAACAACCCATTCAGACACGCGTTCAACTGCACGCGCTTTCTCCTTTCCCTCCCTACGTACGCACACACACGCACACGCTAAAATGATATGCACAACAATCACGATCACAGGGCCTCGCTCTGCAATCACCGGCCGATAGGCCTGGACTTATTCCAGAACAGGACGCCAACGATCCTCGCAGAAAGAGAGAGAGGAGGCATTCACAGGGACGGCGGCCCCGCGAAACGGGAAGCCACCGAGGGCTGGAAAGGCTCCCGCGCGCCCCCTTTCCCCGCTCCTCTCCTGTCCCCGCAAGTCGGCAGGGGCGCCTGGTGAATTTCTGGCCGCCCGACTTGCTGCCTTCCGCGCCGCCCTTCGCCCCCTCTGCGCTCCGCAGCGCCTTTGTCTCACGGCGTGGCGCCGCCGCTGCTGCTGCTGCCGCCGCTGCTGCTTTTCACCTTGGCCACCACCTTCTTCTCCTTAACCCTCCGGTTCTGGAACCAGATGGTGATTTGTCTCTCGGTGAGGTTGGTGGCAGCGGAGATCTTCCTCCTCTTGTCCTTGGTGATGAACTTGCTGTTGGAGTACTCCTTCTCCAGCTCTTTCAGCTGCCCCTTGCTGTAAGGGATCCTCTTCTTGCGGCCGCGGCGGAAGGTGCAGGCCTCCGGGGGATGCTGGCCTACAGCTTCTGACCAAGCGAGAGAGAGAGAGGAGACCCGGTTAAACTAGCCACGGGGTAGCAAGGCAGGCCTGCCGGCGGAGCTCGCGGAGGAAGGAATTTGACAGCCGCAGCCCAGCCCTTGGTCTCCCCCGCGCGGGAGCGAACCTGACTGGCACGAAAGCGCCCAAGCGCCCCGCGAACCTGCGTGCACCACTTTCTCTGCCCGCCGCTCCCTTCTGTTTCTGCGCCTCCTTGCCCAAGTTATCCTCACAGGCGTTGCCGCCAGGAGGTTTCCTTAGTCCCCGGCGCAGTTGGGCCGGGGCCGCACCCCGGTGCTCAGGGCAGCGTAGCCCCGATTCTACGCGGCAGCTGTGCTTGCACGCAACATCCTAGTGAAATCAGCTGCGCTCGGCAGAGCAGCCGAAATCTGACTGGACCAGGTTAATCGTGTGTGACTTGACCAATGCAAAGGCGGGGAAACGGGAACCTAATGGATCCGCTGAGCAGGAATTCCTCTCATTTGCTTCCAGGTCCAGTACAATCAAGGGAACTGATGCAAGTTTACAATTGGGTGATATATCCGAGTACTAGCTTCTACCTGTCCAACCCCATCCGCTTCACTTCCCTTCGGAACAACAACAATGGGGAGATTAAGATTACACGTGATTCCTAATCAAATTGGTTTTGTTGGAGTTTCAAACTGACTAAATCGCGTTCACAAAGTTTGTAAACAATTAAATTGACGTTACTCCCGTAGAAAAGTCTTTTGTGCAAGAATGGGGACATAGGAGTTACTAAGCACTAGGTCCTTGAATTGCTCATCTCCTTATTTCCAGGTCTTTGGTCCTACGTATATTATCATCTCTACTTCTCTCATATCTAGATGTATAATCGTTCATTTCATACAAACTTTAAGCCTAAGCCTATTGCCTGCCTCTGCCTATGAGCACTAGAATTTCAAGAAGACTATAGTAATGAATACAATCAAGCAACTTGATACTTTATAGGAACATACAGAGGAGTAATGAATATGTCTTATTTACTGTTGTGTCTGAGGAAAACAATGGCAATCTAAGAAGTGAATTTTACATCAAGTCTCTCACAAAAAAATTGAATATAAACAATTATTTTAATAATCAATGACATACCATTTGCAATGTGCTGAATGAAAACAATTAAAATTGAGTCCCAGTACTGGGAATAGGCAGAGTAAAATAATAATAGTGAATTACAAAGCATATAGCACAGTGGAAGCAACATTCTTTAGACAGCTGAGTCTGAGGAATTCTTGGTCATTAGTCACTTATTTCACTGTAAGCAACTAGGATTCTGTCTTAAAATGGCAGAAAAATGCATTTTTAAATGTTAGGTCACTGACATGGCATTTCACATATTTTCTTCTTCTGTTACAGTTGCAATATTTTTCCAGCCAAGGCAGAGAACAGATTCACACGGATCTAAAAATTATTGTAGAATTATTTCAACCAGGATTTTAGCTCCATTTAGTTATAAGGGATGGGGCAGCAGACAATACATATTAAGCCCATCATCTGCAATTCTAATCCTCAGTGAGGCTTAAGACAATATGAGGCTAACTGTATTTTGCTTAACAGACACTTTAAAAATATGGATGTGATCCAATAGAGGGCAAGTATTCCTAAGCTCTAATACATGTGAATTAAAAGACATCCAGTCACATGAGTAAATCTGCCATTGGAAGAAATGGGTTGGATCCAGAATTAAAATACTTTGACCAGATCTGTTGAAATGAATGTAACTTAGGTCATGCATGAGCTCCCATTTTTTCAGGGGACTTTTCCAAGACTAGATCCAACTCATTACAATTAAAAGTGCCTAATCATAAACAAAATCCTTTACTGAATGTTTGGGACAAAAGGATTTTCTTCATGTTTCCTCTTGTCCTTGATGAAAAATAAGCATAAACAGCAAAATATATTACTAAAATATTTATACTGAATACTTCTTGCACTCCACACCACCACAGTCATACTGTGTGATGCAGCAATGGTAGGTACTTCATTGGTGAAAGAAGGCAGCATACCTGGCCACTGTGCAAAGTGCTATTATTGTGATGTTTCATTGTCCACATTGTAATTGTGCAGCCATTTGTAACCATGCAGTATCATATTAGTGTTATATAATAATTCAAGCATTGCGGCAGTCTTCCCTAACATAGTTCCTCCCAAATGTTTTGGCCTACAAAGCACATCAACCTCAATAACCCCATCCAATTGCCAGATGATGGGAGCTGTAGTCCAAAGGTGAAGGAAAAGCTGCATTAGAGCGCATTTCAGATGCTGACAGGTGTCCAGGGCCTCCCTTACCAACATTTTCAAGAAAATTGTATTTTGAAGTAAGTAAATTAATATGTGCCACCATCTAAAGCAGCCAGGCCATGTTAGCCGAGAACTGTGGGAGCCACGATTCTATAACCTGGAAGGCATCTAAAGATCCTCCCCATTTCTCAAATATAAGATAATTAAATATAGAGTCCATAATTCTCTAACTGCAACACTGGAGGAAATCCAGTGGGAAAATCTCCTGCACAAGGCCAATTCAGAAGTGTGGAGGGATGTCAGCTTTTCCCATTAATTTCATTAGAGTTGCAGAAAAGAACGTTCTGATTTTGCACCCTTGTTTTTTATTGTTGTTGTAGATGAAGTGGCTAAAGAAAAAGAATTCAAAAATACTGAATCAACATAAAATGGAATTTAGGGATATGTACTCTATTATTACTACTACTACTACTACATCTATATTTCTATACCACCCATAGCTGAAGCTCTCTGCTGTAGTTATTGTACTCTCATTATTCCAATATCAAAAAATTCTGAAACAAAACCATTCTGGAAGCATGGAGCACTGTGACTGATGCTACTTGATTTAAAATTTATGTGTGTGTTTTTTTGGGGGGGGGGGCTATAACTATATACATAATGAAAATAATACTGACAGTTAACTGATGTTGTGAGATCAATATATGATATAAAATCATGCTACTGTTGTGTAATATTAACCTTTATCGTTACTGTATCATTTTTGCATATTGTACACCACTTTGGCCTTTGTATAGCTAAAAAGTGGTGTGTGTGCATATCTATACTTAAAATAAACAAATAATATTGGTACATTGCCTTAAGGAGCTATGTTATTAATCCTAAATAATTGCTGAAGACATATGATCTTATAATGTACTGAATCAACATAACATTTATATATAGATATTGGCCAGATGATGTATGTTGTTCCTGAAACAAAGCCAGCACTGTGTAGTGGCTTGGATGCATGCCCATAAGCAAAACAGTCCAAAACTTCTGAAGAGTTGGCAAATCAGACTTAAATCCACAAGAAGGATCTTGGAGACTGATCTCAAGGCAAACAGGCAGATTTCTCTCCTGAAGTTGCGTTTTGTGCAAACTTTTGGAACTGGAATAGTATAGTATGAGTTACTATTAATGAAGAACAAGCTTCATTCTATATGTTGAAACTAGTCCATAAAAGTTAGCTGAAAACTTAAGCTAACAGGTAAAAGTATATTCCACTGAAAAGAAATGGGATTTCTTTCAGGAAAATATGCTGATTGATTGCAGGATATAATTGAATGTAAGCCACATCCTTAGACTTAGTTTCTTCCATTGTCAGAAAACATTCTCTTCATGGAGGAAAGAATATTGCCTCTTGCACTTGCAAACACGGTTAGTGCTAAAATCTCAGGCATGAACAAGTGTAAACATAAACTAATATAACATTACAAGAAACCAAAATGGAAGTCATTTAAGCTGGCATGGGAATATGCAAGCTTTGGGGTTTTACAGAATCCTTCATCACATGGGATGCTATTATATGCTGTGTTCTTGAGTTAGCACTAGAAGACTTATTTTCAAGAAAGCCAGAGAACTACAACTAAATCAACTGGCTGCTGTCTGATAGTCCAATACTGTTCATGAGCTATGCAATCCAAGACAGGCATTCAGGCAGTCCCCGTGATTCCCCACATCATGTGATAAGCTGGAACTGGAGGGAATGGCAGCCAGAGATTGCAGTGGCCCAGGGGACTGTACGACCCCTGGTGGCAAAGTTTTCTTGAACATCCCTGAATGAATGCAGCAGCCATCTAATCTACGCACACTCGCTCACACACACCCCTGCACCCAGATGGAATCCCCAGCATACCCCAAAGAGCCCTCCCCATACCATTTATTTAAGACACACTGCCTACACCTTCAAAGACCACTATGTTTCTGTGGGTGCAAAGTGTTTCCCCTTCCTTTATACGTCCAACCCTGCCTTTTGCTTGTCCATTACAGGGTGGAATTTGTCTCACTCAGGACCTGGACTTCCTAAAGGGTAGTCCAGCCCTTCATTTTTGAACTATTGTGCTCCTCCATTACATCAGGAAGGATCTGGAGGGAAAGGCTGAGCAGTGGAAATGCTAAGATTACACCTTAGTCCTAAGCATGCAAATGAGCAGATAGAGAATCTAGTCATTGCTTTAGGGCTGGTTTGCAAATAAGCTGGCTTAGGGCGATAACCTTAGAGCTTAGAGCTTTCACTTTAATCAGTGCCCAGCTGCCGCTATCCTACATCCTTCAAAATGTTCTACTGATCTCTGGGGAACAGCAATGATATCCAGCAATAATATCCAGTCCTACCATTGCAGTCTGCCTATCTGTTCCTGGGTGTGTGGAGTTGTTGGGTTCTTTCCCTCCTGCATCTGCCATAAGGAATTTGTAATTTCTCTTATCATATACATTTTCTGAGAAAAAATTCATCCTTTTTCCAATGGCTTTGAAGAATCAGAATTCAGCAATACAAATAAAGAGAAAGAAGGAAACAAGCACAGAGACACAAAAAATGGGGTGAGTGGGAAGATAGAAAATAAAGCCCTGCTCTAAAGTACGATATCCTGCACCAGAGCAATACCAGCACCTTGCAACTCTTAAATCAATTAGAGACCTAATTTATTCGGTCAAAATCTGAAAATAAATACATTGACAGGTGAAAGAGCGTAAATCCGCCTCTGTGCAATTTCTATGCTAATCAGGGCTCCTAAGAAATGTGAGAAAGGCACACTGCATATGCTCAGAGACATCCTTGACTTCATCATTAGACTATAGACTACACACCTAAGTAGTCAAGCACTGGAGGATTGGGGCTGGCTCAGTCTGAACTCTGTGTAGTTCCCAAGAATCCCAAGCATTTCAAAGACAACAGGAATCTTTAGCCTGGCTGTTCCATTTGGATCCTGGAAGTGACCAAGAGGGGCACCTGTCAACTTCTAGCAAATACATGCATACAAATATATATGTGCAGAGGTATCTTAGTTCCAGCCATAATGAGAGCATTTCATAGCACAATTCACAACCTTCCCAGGCTGGCCTTTTCCATAATTACTGTTAAACTTGGGGATCCTCCCACACATACAATTTGGTTAAACTCAGACATAAATTATAACAACATTCCAGGTGAGACCGAAAAATCCTCACAGGGCACTGAAATCAGCCACAGAACTCTGTGTGGGGAGCACAGTACAGAGAGGCCACAAGGGCTACTCACAGTATGGCTGGAAATCAGAAGCACACGCTTTGACTGATTGCATATATTCATATGCCAGTTTTCTCCCCCTGTGGAACTCAAGGAGGCTGCATGAGGTTCACAAGTGGTCTCCCCTCTAAGCTCAGGCCAATCCCAAAATTGCTTAGCTCCAACATGGTGGATGCCTTATGCACCTTCAGACTATTCTATGGTCTAACATATTCTAGATAATATTCAGTCTGCGTATTGCCGAGAAGCCGGGAGGTAGACCTAATTTCTTATGCCACGGGAAGAAAATAGCACATGTGTGCGCCACGTTCCGCGGTGCGAGTTTGCCTGGGAACCGATATGTAGTAATTATTATACTACACGAATAAAGAAGAAAGAGTGACAGTCTCACGAGACAGGTCAGAAATAACCAGGGAATTTTCCCAGCAAAGGTAATTCAGCCAAATTCTCAACTCTGGAAGAGATGGGGAGGTGTTAAATAAAGGAGCCTGGGGACTTTGCAGTTTCCAACCACGCCAGCCCCGGAGGATCTGCGATCGTTCGGCCGCGTTTCGGCAGAATAGGGCCCCAAGCCCGTCTCGCTGGAGGGACCGAGGCGCTCCCTAGTTCTGGTTCAACACGTTCCCCCGAAAGCCCCGGGAATGTGGCGCCGCCGTGGCGCTGGTGGAAGGGGGGTGACAGAGAGAGGAGCGGGGATGCAGCTTCTCTGAAGGAGCCACGCGTTACCTGGAAACGCAGATTTCCAAAAGTGGCCCGCCGGGCTCTGCTCTTTGGCACAACACATCTGGTTGTTCCAGCCTCCGGCCAAGGCCCACGGTTCGTGGTACGGGTCCACGGGCAGGAGGGCTTCGTGCCTGGCGTCTCCCGGAGGCCCTCCGATGGCCTGCACCAAGGACACGTCCAGGTAGCTCGCCATCGGCTGGTAAGGCCCCGCGTAACCCGCCGGGTAGATGGCGAACTCAGCCGGCCGCGTCTGGTAGTCCTCGGGGGCAGCCACCGAGCTGCCCGCGTCCAGGTACTTCTCGGTCGGGTAGCCGGTCGGCGGCGGCGGAGGCGGCGGCGGCGGGGGGCACGGCTTGAGGGAGCTCCGCGCCACGCGGTACGAGTAGTAGCCGCCCCCGGTGCATCCGTAGGAGAAGGGCGAGGCGACGGCGGCGGCCAAAGCCTGCGGGATGGCTGCCGGGCACGGGATGCAGGGCTTGGCTGAGCCCTCCCCGGAGCCTGGAGGGGGAGGAGGTCCGTCCGGGGCAGGGAAGCCGGCGCCCTGCATCGCTGCCGGGGCGCCGGGGTCGACCGCAGCCGCGCTCCTGCAGGGCCCGCTAGCCGAGAAGGCGGCCGGGCTCAGCAAGCCGTCCATGCCCTTGCGCGGCGCCTCCTCCGCGCCCCTGCGGGCTTCCGCGAAGGCTGCCTCGGCGTCCATGGGGCGCAGAGCGGCGCGGGACGGCGCATGGGCCGCCTCAGCCCGCGAGCTGCGCTCCGTCGCGGCGGCAGGAGGGACGGGGCCGGGGCACGACTGGGGCCGGGCCGGGGCGCGAGGACTGTTTAAGAGGCTGGCGGCCGCCCAAGGAGGGTCGCCGGGCCCGCGGCCCCGGGCTGCTTCTCCCCGCCAGGCACACGCGCGAAGGACGTGCCTGCGCGCAATGGCGCTCCCATTGGCTGCCGCGCACCCACCGGAGACCTGCCGGGGGGGGAGGCGGCGCGGGGGGGGGGAGCGGCGTTGCGAAAGCGCCTTCCCGGCCAGACGCCAGAAAGGGGGTGGGGCGGGGAGGGGACGCCCACACTCGGGAAGGGGTGGGCAGGGGACGCCTGCGCTTGCTTTCCCTTCAGTCTGACCAGCTGGGCGAGGCGAGGCGGGGAGGGGGCACCCCAGCGCCTTTTCACCCACATGAAATGGACGCAGTTTAATGGAAAGCGGGGGAAAGGGGGCGTTTGCAGAAGGAATCGTCCGGGGTGCCCATTTATGGGAACCTCAAAGGAGAGGCAATACACCAAACTCAATAATTCAGTGGTGATCCGTCTCCAAATTGCACCCAGTTCTTTCGAAACATCCATAACCCCTGAGTCGTTGAGGGGATATACAGAATATCCCTTAAAATCACCGCAACAAGTATTCAGCATTTCTGATCCTTATTTGACAGTGGAAATGCACCAGGGCGCATCCTCTTCCTTGCAGGAACACTGTGCACATGTTAAACACAGGCTTGCTCGCTCTCTCGCGCACACACGTTTTATGTTTTATTCCCAGTAACTCTTAAAAGATACCATCTCACAGGGACTGCATTATGAAAGAAAAGAAACAAAGAAAGAAGAACACAACAAGAACAGAACAGAAAAAAGACGTTTCTGTACAGCACATACATGTACAAAGTGAAAGCGACCCCTTCCACCAATTATTTGCAGAAGTTACCGCTGAAGTTTCAGAAATATTACTTTTGACCAGACAAGAGGCAGGCCTTTCTGATTTAGCATGGGCATGGGAAGAGGAACTCAGCTTTGACATGCTGTGGAGTTTGGGAAGTTATTTGTAGAAAGTTGACTATGACACACTGTGCACATTCAGACTATTTTATATAATACAGGAGAGAGACAGAGAAAATGGATACACATGTGTGAATGTGAATAAAAAAATAAGAGAAAGACATAACCCAGAGAAGAGAAAGTGCTATTGTTATATAGCATCTTATACAAATTGAAAATAATGAGTAGCTTTTTTGTATTAGAAATGCAAATAAGGCAGGAACTTCTTGTCTGAGGTGTATTCCTGAATACAACTGACTTCCTAAAGTAGCAGCATATATGTGGATATAATCACATGCAACAAAGGAGGAGAGAAAAGAGAGCTTCAGATCCTGAAATCTGTTAATTTTTATGATGTTTTAATATGTTTTAATGGTATATTTTATATTGTTTTAAAATATGCAGTCGTGAACTGCCCAGAGAGCTTCAGCTGTTGGGTAGTATAGAAATCAGTATCTCCTTAATAGACAATCAACACCCATCTAGTTTTCTATCAGGATTTCTCCCAACCAAGCAACTTTCTTCCCCCCAAAAAACCCTTCACTAGAATTCTGCTGGGTTTGTAGGAGTACTTTCTTTTTATATCACTGATTTCCTTTGTCATCTTTCTTTTTTCCCTTTTCAGTGTAAGGAATTTCTGTTTTCCTTTTTTTTTATTTCTATTTATTTGCAAATAGACACCAGACCCAGAAGAGAGTGTCTGCTAATGTCAGTTGCCACTTTTATAGGGAAATGCATATAATACGCAAGTTATGTTTTAAAAATAGATTAATTCTTCCCTCTTTCTCTCACATGCTCTGTCACACACATGAGACTCACAGAAAACAATATCATATCTCTCCCAATTTCCATGTGGGAAAGTATGCATATATCTAAATGGAATAAAAATAAACAAGAATTTCTGGCACACACCCCTTCTGTACAGACTTATTGAAGATCCTGATTGAATTCAGTGTTCAGCATAATATGACTTCCGCTTGTGAAGGTAAGAAGGCCTAGAAGAGACCTAAGTTCAAATTTTTCATCAGTTAGACAGTGAGAGATCTTGAGTACATCAACTTTCTCTGTAATGACTCTGCAAAATGGAAATGATTGTGCTTGTTTGCTAAGCAGATCCCAAGCACGGAGATCCTTCTCTTCCATCAGAGCCAGGCCTTAAAGATGGCATAAAAAGATCATGACAGATCTGAAGAATATTGAGTGCAACCTGCAGCAAATTAGCTTGCTGGGTATTCTTGAAATCCTACCTGAAACCAAAAGCATTTCTGTGCACATTGTTTTCAGAAGCTCTAGCTTTGAACTCAGATAAAACCAAAAGGCAGATAAAGATAGACAGGCATTTAAACAGAGCTGCAATAGCCCTCATTTCTAGAAGGACAGGGCATCTGATTTTCACATTTCTAATTTAAAATCAAATTTCATCCACGAAAGAAACACCCTATTCCAGTCTTTCACCTTCCTGTCCTAAATGTTCATTTGTAGCTTAGCCTTTTCTGTCTACTAAATGAAGGATGGAAGGCAGGGGTGAGGGGAGAGATTCAGAATGTGTATATGTTTGTTGACTCACTCTAAAAAAGTGATGGGAAAACATTTGTTAAGCTTCAATCCTTCATATGCTTACCTGGAAGGAAGCTTATTGCATTCACTGGGACTTCTCAGTTGAATTGCCCGGTTATATATTTTGGATCCTGGTTTACTTTTATTCAGATCGGAGCAATCCCATTGATTTCAATGGGTTTTAACTAAGCATGGCTTAAAGGCTGGACACAACCCAGTGTATCTGGTTAACCCTTAATGCAACTTGGGCCACGTCAATATTCAACTTAAGACAAATCATTCTCTTGCATTTTTAGTTCCAGCTGTAAATGAAAAATAACTGTTGCTTACTCTGTAGAATTGTGATGAAGACAAGCCATTCTCACCCTCCTTTTCTCCTCCCATATTATAATCTGCAGAAAACAGCATTTTGTTTTGTTTTGCTTTAAGAAAATGTTTGGTTTATATGTAGTACATTAGGATAGCTTTACAGGTCTCTGAGAAAGAAAGAAATAGGGCTCAAGCATCCGTAATATTTCATTCTGACACCCTTGAGCAGTTATATGTGCTGCTTTGTTTTGCATTGTAAGCCACCTTGAGGGCCAACACATTGGTTGAAAGGTGACCTATCCCAAAAGTAAGGCAGCTGATTGACTGATTAATTAATTAAGTAATCCATCATCTGGAGGAGGAATTGAATCATGGGATTCCCCAAAGGTCTACAGCTTTGTAATATACATGAAAATAACAATATAAGGCTGGTTCCCCCTGTCCCCAGATGGCTGGTGTGTTTATTTGTACATTCAAAGGGTCTTCTCAGTAGATATGTGCAGTATTGTAGTTATAAATCAAAGCTCCATTCCCAAGTCTCCATATATGGGGTGGGGGGATCTGTTAGCTTGGTAAGGCAAAATCTCTAAGACCGTTTGCTTGGAGATAGCATACAAATTGTGCTGCTTCCTGTGGGGACTGCCTTGTTAGTATGCTCAGGTAGCAAACACAACAGAGGGGCTTGTAGCACCTTAAAGGTGGACACCTCAATCATGGCATAAGCCTTTGTGGACTGAGGAAGTGCTCTAGCCCATTACTGATATGTTAGGCTTTGAGAAGCTACAATACAATAATAGAAAACAAGCCCTCCACCAAGCCAAGGCACTGGTTTATCTAACCCAGTGCTGTCTGTATGGACTGGTGGTACCTCACCAAGGAGTCTTTTCCAGCCCTACCTGGAGTTTCCAGGGCTCAAACCAGGACCTTCGATGCTCAGATTATCTAGCACCGCCACTGTGCCAAGGTTCCTCCCCAGTGGTGTAGATAGAAATTGACTACATGGAAATTTAAATGACCGTACCAAAATAATATTTAATTTAGATCATAATTAAAGGTATGTGTTACAAATATAAAGAAATAAAGAGAGATAGAGGGATATTTCTGAAGACATGGGGTTATGTCATTCAGATCTATCAATGAAAAGGAAATCATATTAATATGAGGCTTGCCTTTTTCTTGCAAGAATATGACGCATTAGCTGCATTAACCCATTGGCATGCATAACTTTCAACTATTTATTAAGAGGTTTTGCTCTCGAACAAGCATTGTTTAATGCTTGCTTGGATCTAGGGTAGTCCTTCCCAATCTGCTGCCCTACACATGTGCTGGACTGGGAAGGATAGGCAAACCAGTCCAATGCATCCCGAGTGTACCAGGGTGGGGAAAGCTGAAGTAAGGTCCACAAACTGCTGGCTAAGCTTGCCCAGCTTTTACCTACACCCCTTCTCTAGCAGTCCATTCTCCAATGCATTTTATGTTAGTGAGTAATTTCTTGCAAGCCATGTAAGTGGGAATGAAATAGAAGGAGGGTGTATGAAGAAGTTCAGCCAGGAAGAGAGTCTGCCAGACATGTTGTTCTAATTGCTGCTATGGTCCATTGGTCCAATGGACTGCTTGTTTAACTCTTTGGATTACATAGGCTGGTTAGTTACACTTGACTAGCATAAGATGCATTCTACTGGTTTCGGAGAGAAAGGCTGGAAATCAGATGAACAACTGACTGAAAAAGAACCAGATTCTCCTGCTAAGGAGTAAGCATTGGCTGCACAAGACTTGATTTAACACTCAGGCAGTTTGTGACACAATCCCACATTTATAGTGTGCTTGTTTACACGGCTCTTTACAGATTCCTTTGGTAACATCATGATACTCCAGTTTCCCTGTGAGCAAATACCACTCAAATCAATAGGATTTACTTCTGAGAAAGCATTCATATCATAATCCTAGGCATGGTTACTCAGAAGTAAGTATGTATAATTATTAGTATCCCAATTAAGTACTTTTTGGACTGAGGCTTATGGGAAAGTAATAGCAAGG